ATTTGACACTTGACCGTCTGTGTTCTGTCAAGTTTTGTTTATTGTTTATCAGGTCATTTCAATATTTTAAAATTTAACAAGTATTTTGTTTGAAATATTTTATTTAATAATAAGCTAATGCTTTAAATTTATATCATATATATTAAAATATTATTTTATTTGAACTATAAGTGGAATATCAGTGAAAAACACACTTGTTGGGTGCCTGGATGCAGCCCTAAAAAAAATGGACCTTCTTTTACATTTCATTTGCTTCCTAAAGTTGGTAAATGTAGAGTAATTTTTATAAATTGCAAGTGGAAATTCTGCAAGAAATGCATGGTTACAAAAATTAAAAATTGAGAAGCATTTTAAAGAAGATGATTTGCCTAGAGGTAATATAGATTTGTTTTTCGATTGAATGTTTTTATTTTACCTTTTTTTGTGTTGTAGATGCCTCATCCAAAGTGAAAATAAATATAAAAAAAAATCGCTGTGTCTTCCTGCCAGTTTTTAAGTAAATGTTTGACGATTCTGTTCAATAAACTTCAAAATCAAATATTGAGAGAACAAAAAGAAGATCCAAACCACAGAATAAAGATTTTGTGTCCAAACTAAAAAAAGTTCAATCAGTGTTAAATGTGATAGTGAGATTAAACAAAGTCATAGTTGAGAGTGATTTGTTTCAAGATAACCTAGCTACTCACGCCAAACAAGACAGAGGTTGCAAATACTCTTTTTCAAGTATATTGCCATTAGTGTACAAGTGCACATACCCCAAAAATTAAAACAATTTCAGATCTTTTAAAATCTGACAAAGAGTTGTGTTCATTCACTGGTATTAACAACTTTAACATACTGTACTAGAAAATACAGTCAAATCAGCTGAAGTACTTCAGAAGATGGCCTATTGGGTATTGTAACTCAATAAAGAACGTTTATTATTATGTAAACATTGGCATATTTAGTTAACAGGAAAAATAAAAAATATTTGATTTTTATATTTATTGCTTATAATAATAGCCTTTTTACCCACAGAATCAACTCGACCCATGCAACGAAGACTCATTTTTTGAGAGTTTTTAGTTACCTTTATCCAGCACATATATTTTCCAAAAGCTTTGATCTAAATAAGTATCGTATATCTAAACGAAGAGGTTAACCAACCAGAAATACTACCATCAAATATAGTAAATCATTTTAGGCCATAAAATACTTTGAATACTATATTATCTTAGATTTTCTCAAAACTGGAAATAATGAGTTACTATAGTCTTCGTTGCATGTGTCGAACTATTCCATTACAGAATAATATAAAAAATGTACAAAAATACATTATCAATGTACAATCACTCATTAGAAAATGTAACTGTACACGATGACTAGTAAACTTGAGAATAAAAATAATCATTAAAAAGAGTATTCTCTTAAGTACAAAATTAATCATAAATTTCAAGTTGTACATTTTCATTTATTGTATTAAAGAAGAGATCACATGAATTACTTATGTTATTAATATCATAATTATTCACACAATATCCAAACATTACAAACATCAGTGTGTTAAAAAAGTAAGAATAAGAACACTTGCGAAGTGTCATACAATTGTTTGTAAGATAATAAGTAACATGGATTAAATAATATATTATAAAAGTATTAAGACTAAAAACTAATACAAACTACAAATTAAAATTATGACTAAGTAAATTTTACATCAAAACTAACAAACAAACAAAATAGTACCTACTTGTGTTAATAGATGATTTTAAAAGAATAATTATTCTATATGTTTTAAAACATCTTGTTAAATAAAATTATGGAACATTGAAATAATAATTTGATTATCAAACAGTTTATGCAAACATAAAAGTGAAGCCATAAATATTCTGCTTCTGTACCAAGGACACATAGTTTTTGTAATAATCATAAACTGATTTTAGATTTATTTGAAAATATAAAAGAATATCTTGTGTAGTGCCATTATTTATCGATTTGCATTGATTAATAAAAAAGTTTTGCACGAAATACAAGTTTTTCCTTTTGAAAATCAAAAGGTATTCGATCGAATTAGCTTGATAGTTCTTTTATTATTTGAAACAGTATACACCTAGAACACTTTATTAAGACTCCTGAAATATGTTTGCACTGTCCACTGTTCCCAGCTTAAAACAAACACTGCCATTCACTAATTTCAAACATCTTGCACTGGCCTACAACAATATGGGGACCTGAATTCAATGCACTAGTTTGGAGAACAACTGCAAAAACGTGTTTATCACTAAATTCATTTTTTCCACATAAAAACTATGTGGCCCGCATTTAAAATAGCATCTTCTTTAATAACAGTCCTGGAATTTTCACCTGCATCAATATACTTCATAAGTTCTATTAAACTTAGCCTTATTTCAGACATCTCACTAAAAATAAAATAAATATATTAATATTTTATTAAAAGATGTCACAAATATATCTTAAATTAACATAAATGAATGAATGTAATTTAAAAACAAAATTAATAGGGGGTTACTTACCAAATAAAAATATATATTCTACTTTAATCTAAAAACTATTGAAATAAAAGTATCTAATCACTAAAAATTAACAACAATATGTTTTCCCTCGTGTTTTCCTTAAAATAGCACAATATAAACTAAATACTTTTTATGGGTTGTTTGTTTACAAACTCAAAAATGTAAACAATAACAAGCCATAACAATTAGTTTAAATGTTAAGTACAGACGGCGCTGCGATCTTAATTTTAGATCCCAATAGCAAATGCTATATCTAATGGCTTCTTTCTGTAGATCTCAAACTTTTTCTAGTGGTCATCAATTGGCTCAATGGTGACTAAAGCCATGGCTAAAAGTTCTTTGAACTTCGAAATCAATATTTTATTTTGTGTAAAATCTTTATATATCTTTATATACCATTACTGAATCAAACCTTATTTCGGTTGCTAGTTTTAAATACTATTTAGTTTCTCTTTTTGGATACGCAGGCTTTCATTTAATGCGACATGTTAATGTAGGCTTTAGATTTAATATAGTCAATGATGACTTGAGGGTTTTCTACTTCATTTGACTGTTTGTTCTTGATCTGTCCCATTTGAGGAGTGTGATATTGCAATCAAGATAATGAGTTATCTTGCAGTTAGCACGGGGTCCCAGTATTTTAAATCAAGTGCTTGGCCCGCGTGTTATCCAGATATTGCAAGCCCAAAAACAATATTTGGAATTAAAGAAAAACATTTCAGATATCATGAAATATTGTTTTATTAAGTTTCTAACTAGTATTTCAAATAAAAAGTGGAACCAGATTTAGCTTTACAACAGCGGTCGTTAAGGTGTTAATTTTATTATACATCAGAACTACGCACGTTCTTTCACCAGCAATTTAGCAAGTGCTAAAAATTCAACTTTAAAATGTCGACCTGCCATTATTTCTTTTTTCAGTGTATTACTTGTTTTGTTTTTAATAAGCAAACTTTTGTCGACTTTTCCAAATCGATGAATTAGCTTTTCATTCTTGAAATAAAATAAACCAACAACAAAAAAGAAAGACTGAAAAAAATATTTTCATTTCCGTCTTCGTTAAGAACAAAGTCAATAGTACTTTGCAAAATTAACGAATGCAACCTATCCTACTCAGACTTCCGTCACTGTCTCTTTTCTTCTTTAATATCAAAGCCCGGAGAATTTAAGTATATTATTTCCGGGCTTGATTTTCGTACAGAACCGTAGTTCATTTCTTACATACAGAACGTAAAAGGTAGAAAAAATTGGAAAAGATTAAGGCAAACAAGTAAACGAACCATATAAAAATAAATTTGCCTACGAATTTTGTTTAATCTTTATTCCAAAGCTTAGAAGCGTTTACGTTCACATGGGTATAGATACATGCTTTATTTATATTGTAATACAACAAAAGTGTTATGCTATTTGAATATGTTAAATTCCTGTTTTGAAGTTAAAAATATTTTAGTTTAAGAGTGTCGCAGGGCTCGGTTCTTGGCCCCTCCTTTTTTATCATTTACGCTAACTAACTTGTCTGATTTGTTGATTTATTTAAGTAGTACAAATACAATATTATTACATTATTATATGTTAGTACATACTAAATTATTTCATATTAATTAATTAATCCATATTATTTATAATATTCTAAATGTTTGCAAATAAAAAGTATAAAATTAAACTAGTTCTTAACTACAGATTTTAATAAAACAAATTAAGAAGAAGCTTACAGTTTAGTAGCAGTACATAAAAATTCAAAGAAGATTGAACATTGAAACGATGGTATGTGAATTTCTTAAGATATAGGTAATGCACATTAAGTGAGTAAACACTTGTTTTGAGAATTATATAATACAATAAATATTCAATAAATTAATACATGAAAGTAGATGGACCAAGGTCAGAGGTACAGAGAGAGGTAATTGGGTAATTAGTAATTATGCTATGTAGCCACCCCCCCACCCGTCGCGCAATTAGCAAGTACCTCCCAATTACTATCATGTACTGTAATAAGTGTAATTGCATAGTGTAATTGCGTAGTGTAATGGCACCTCTCATTACTCCATATACATAGAGGTGTAAGTACCTCTCCGAGAGTATTTACTATGTATATCATGCAGTGTGTAACGAGCATGGTAAGTACCCATACTCATCGAAGTGTAAGTACCTCTTAGATAGTAATTACTATGTATATCATGTAATGAGTTTAGTCTAAATACATCTCAGTGATTACTATTGTGGCATAAGGAAAATAAGTCCATGTCTAAACACATTCTTGACTCTCGACTGCCATAGCTAGAGAGAAGCGCTAGTCTTCAGCAGATACGGGCCACGTAAACATTGGTGGAAAGGGTAGAACCCCACCCTTCGCGCATTTTCAGACTTGTATATTATGAATAGTGAAGGGAAGCATAGGAGAGGTGGGAATTTTTAGAGAGGGTATATAGTAGCGTGCATATCCAAATTAAATCAGTTTAAAATCGTGAGTTTTAAGTTCCATTATCTAATACAAGTACATACGCATCGCACCGTAGACTCACAAAGGAATAATGGGAGATATGAATCATGTGATGTAGACATCCCTACCAATTAGATGTCATCGCATATGAGGAGACTTGACCATAAAGGAAGAGCCTGCACAATTCAAGCCGATGGTATATATTTAATTCAGAGTGCGTTTAAGTGCAGAATCGCAAGTTACAGAGTCAAAACTGATGAAAAGCATATAGATTATATAACATTTTTTGATACTATAAAATTTAGAATATTGGAATTGTCAAAAGTTGTTCTGAGGGCCCATAATGCCATTAAAGTTAATGTAGAGGTCTTCGCTACTTACGTATTGCAAAGCCAAGATATTTCCGAAATCAAATCTTTTAACAGCATAAATCGAATACTAGATTTGTCGACAGAGTTAGATGTGGTATATGCAGACTTGAGGGAAGCCGTGGTATCTCAAACTGCGGACTTTCAACATAAGGATTCAGGTATAATAGTTTTTAATGCATAATATAATGTTAACTATAATGTTAAGTCATTGTTTTAGGGTGGTCATTACAGGAAGTACTATTTTTAGAAGTAAACATAAATAAGTACTCTCCACTAGGCGGCTGCTCGTACATAAAGCTCCCCAAGTTTATTGAAACCAAGAAGGGTGTAGTTAATGTGCAAAATAATGATGCGTATTGCTTTGCTTGGGCCATCACATCGGCACTGTATTCAGCGAGGGATCATGTTAGCACATCATCGTATCTACACCGTGCTGAATGTTGCGGGTATTGAATTTCCCATGAAGCTTAAAGACATTTCAAAATTTGAAGACTTAAATGATATAAGTGTTATTTGTTTATGGCTTAGAACGTAGTTATAAAAATGGTAAGGTGAAATTTGAGACAGTTGGCCCATTACGATATTCCCGTAGAAGGTTAGGTCATCATATAAATGTACTACTAATAACGGAAAATTCGGGTAATAGTCACCACTGTTGGATTAAAAGTCTTTCCAGATTAGTGTCAAATCAAATAACTAGAAATGGTCACAAAAAATTTTTTTGTGATGGATGTTTACTTTACTTTCCATCTGAAAGCGCCCTATTGCGGCATCAGTTGCGCGATTGTAATCATATATATACCTGCACGCCATCAGTAGAGCCGAAAAAAGACAAACGCGGCAATTATATGCCTGAAAATATACTTAAGTTTCAAAATTATGATAAGCAACTAAGAGTTCCATTTGTAATTTATGCTGATTTTGAATCGATCTTAAAACCTATAGATATTTGCGAACCAGGTCCGGAAAAAAAATTTACTATCCCTACATACCAACATAAGCCATATTCTTTCGCATATTTAATTAAATGTTCATTTGATAATTCATTGACGAAATTTGTAATTTTTACAGGTGATAATGCCGGTAGCGATTTCGTGAAACGGTTAGAGGACGATGTTTTGACTATTTATAATACGTATTTAAAAGACATTGTCTCTATGCACCAACTATCTAATGACGAAATAGAAGATTTTAACACATCGACTATATGCTTTCTTTCATATTGCTATATATACGGAGACCAGCAGTAAGAAATTAAGTTTACTTCAGTTAGCTGAGTAAACTACTTAACTTTCTTGTTTTATTTTTTCAAGATCAAGCTCAACATGAATTCATTTGAAGAAACCGTCGCCGCAACGAACTCCATCCTCCCAACAGGAGAAACCGCCGCTGCTACCACTGACACCCTGCTCGACTGCATGCCGGACGATTTCGACAGAGATGCTATTGATGACTGCAATGACTGCAATACCTAGCCCTGTGACGCCGATGGAGTTGTCCCAGACTATGGTCGAAATCGCTCCGGTACCGGCCCCGTTACCAGCCTCGTTACCAGCACCGTTACCAGCCCCAGAACCGGTGGTAATCTACGATAGCGAGGATGATTTCGAATCAATAGGGCCGAAGATCCGGGTCCTCAGCAATGTCCGCATCCCTACACTGCCGGCCTCAGTCACGGTGAAAAACCTGCCGAAAGGTAAACTTGTTGGCACAATTGAAGATGCGCCCTGTAGGTCGAAGTAGGTGTGTGTGGGCGTGTGTGTGGGCGTGTGTGTGGGCGTGTGTGTAAGCATGTGTGTGGGCGTGTGTGTGGGCGTGTGTGTAAGCGTGCGTGCGTGCGTGTGTGCGTGTGTGCGTGCTTGCGTGTGTGCGTGTGTGTGTGTGGTCCACCATAACTCATGAACCGATACAAAGAAAAACACCAAAATTTAAACTTAAGCTTTATTCCCGCGTCCAATGAATTGATTAGAATTTGGGCAGAGTCGGAACATCTGGGGGGTACTTTATAAGTGGTCATTTTTATATTTTATGGAATATATATGTTATTTACGTTTGGACAAGAAAATTCTTCAAATAAAAGTTACTTACAATATTATTATCAATATTTTTTGTTTAATACAAAATTTTCCTAAAATGGTCTATATTCGAGAAATTTGACAAAATGTAAAAAAAAACTTTTTATAAAAATTGTTCAAATTAAAGTTGTTTGTAATTTAATTCTCTATAATTTTTACTCTTTTCATAATTTCTCTAAAATGGACTGTATTCCAGATATTTGAGAAAATGTGTAAATTTCGAATTTTGAAGAAAACTCAAAAACGGATAAAGAAAAAATATTAAATTTAAACTTAAATTTTATTTCGGCCTAACGTAAAATGATTAAATTTTGGACAAAGTCGAAACATCTGGGGGGGGGGGGGTACTTTATGGGAGTTATATTTTATGGAATATATCTCTTATTTAAGTTTGGAGAAGAAAATTGTTCAAATAAAATTTATTTCTAATACTATTATCTATAATTTTTGCTTCATGTTAAATTTTCCTGAAATGGTCCGTATTTGAGAAATTTGCTATTTGCGATATCGATCTCTATAATTTTTGTTTGAACATGATTTTTCTAAAATGGACCGTAATGGAAAAATTGGAGGAAAAGTGCTAAAATTAAATTTTTCAGTATTTTCGTTTTCAATGAATATCTATAGAAAAATGCTTCGAGGTAGATGGTAGATGTATGTGGAAAATGTATATATTTAGTTTATCCTCTAAACATTTATAGAGGTACTGCAATAGGTTGTACAAAATAACCGGAAAAGCCTATAATAACTAGATATGAAAGTCATGTGTTGGACACATCAGACTTTTGTTTACCTCTAAACATTATTTATTACCTATATGTATGTATTGATATGAATATAAGAATTTAGATGTATAATTTATTTTTAATACCCAGTATAGCTAGCTCAGTAATTATACAACTTTTTTATTAGATGATGAATATTTGTATTAGAATTTTAGGTTGGGTTCTCTTACTTATATTTCTCACTATCAATAATTTAGATAATCAAAAGAAAAGAAAAATAAAAAAAAATTAATTTAAAAATTATATTATTTTTTAATGTCGTCTTCTTCTTCTCAGCCTTGTCTGCACTTCTCTCTCCTTACTCTTCTATTTACACTGCTAATTGTTCTACCGCCTGCCTTATTTCTGCTATCTTGCCTTGCTTTCTGCTTTAATCTCCTTCTACTACCTATCTATTTTTGCTCCTATCGTTCTGCCTCCTGCCTTATTACTGCTATCTCGCCTTACTAGTTTTCGTTTACTCTTTGTTTTAAATAAAATTTTCTTTTTACCTTATTTTTTATGTTCACTATTCAAATCTCCATCTCATTATAATCTTAAACTTTTTGCATTTATCTCTCATCTTTAACCTCCTTTTTAGTGTATAAACCATTCCCAGTCTTCTTACAATAAAATAAGATTACAAAAATGACAATAAAATAATGTTATTATAATCACGATTCCCTAAAGAAGCCGAATATATGCATATACAAACTTATATAGTTCTGACACACCCATATGTGCTCTTTAACAAATATCTAAAGCGAAGTTTAATTACTTCGCGTGTACGTACATTTCGAAGTTTAAACTAACTCCCGACCCAACTCCCCCTTGAGTAAAAGATACAACTCCGGCTTGTGCTAAACAGATAAAACTAACCTTTACCGGAATTTACAGGATGTTACATTTCATGAATAAGTTCATGCTTTTAATAATTGCAACCTCTAAACAAATAAAATTATGAATAAAAGTTCCCAAAATATTGCGATTTAATCTTCATAAAAAAATATTTTTCGATCGGATTATTAAAAAAAATTAAATTAAAATTTATATTTTAATTTTTATGTGTTAATATTAATACAAATATAATATAATAGGCCATTAGGTTTTGTACAATTCAACAGTTATTCTCATTGGATAGAAAAATACACCAGAATGTCAGTCTAGTTTTCGAAGTCTAGAGAATGTTTAGATAACATTCTCTCCAATGGGGCATGTTCAAAAATTTTGAATTTTTTTTATGAATAATAGAGATGAAAATAAAGCTACATTTTTAAATTTTTTTTATCTATTCATTTGCCAGAGATGAATTATTTAAAATTTATGACGTCACTGGGAATAGACCTATAGGAGCTAGCGCCACAACGTTGCCGGTTAGAAGGTTTACGAGAAGTGATGTACGTTCGTTTGTGTACTCCTTTTTACTTTTAGACTTCTAAAACATCGTTAAACAAATATCTTTTTATCAAATGTTTTTTGAAAGTATTGTTCCTGTTTAAACTTTTACCATATTTAAAGTTTCATTGTTTTAAAAGCCACTTAATAATTCAGAAAATGGCAAAACGGCAGCACTGTATGTGTCATCTGTCATAGTGTCTCAATCAATAATTTATTTGGAATTTGAGTGTTTATTTTGTACTTTTTATAAATATTATGACTACGAAAAAGTGTTTTGTTCCAGAATGTGATAATGATTCACATTCATCTTCAAAAATATTTATTAGTGTTCCTAGAAATTTGGAAAGAAGAAAATCAACCTTCTACTAGCGATGTTTCTCGTCAACTTTTTAATAAAAATACACCAAATATTCAAGATGTAGCAGCAATTTCTGCTAATTATCCCCTTCAGGAAATTCAAAATGAGGCTACTATAAATTCTTAGGTGTATAAAGTGGGTATTTAAACAAACTGGTTCCTGGATCCCATATAATGGCAGATAGGGGGTTTAAGAATATTCAGCCATTACTTAAAAACGTGGGATGCACTTTAGTAAGGCCACCTAGTGTATCACAGAATGAAAAAAGTGCTCCAGAAGATGTACAATTAAGTAAAAGAATAGCATCTCTAAGAATACATGTGGAAAGAGTTATAAGAAGGGTTAAGGAATTTCACATGTTAAAACCACATTCTTGTGTGAATTTTAAGCAAGTACACTTACTTAGTAATATCTGCATAAAATTGCTTGTGGAATTGTTAACTTACAAGAACCTATTTTTTAAGAGTAAATATTAATATAATAAACTTTTTTTATTTGTTTTATAATTTAATTTACCTAATTATCACATTTCAGAGATTATAATGAAGGGTTTTTAAACAGCCAATGTAATTTTTTATAAAATTTTAACTTTTCGAGCAAATCAAAGAGGAATGAGTATCTGTATATGCATAGATTTTTTTGAGACTAAAACTACTAAACCAAAGGCACCTATTTACAGCAGTTTAAAATGAAACATTTTAACAAAAACAGCCTATGTCGCAGTGATAAATATTAAAAAGGTTCAGTTGAATGTGGTAGCAAAGTCTATATATTCCAATAAGTTAGGTAACTACTACATGTGGTATCACTGGTGATAAATTTAAAAATATCACAATTCTTGCCATCTTTTTCAAAAAA